GCCTAACTTGACCGAGGCAGATGCCCATGCGTGCCCTGGTTGATGATGCTTGGAGCTTAGCCAGGCATAGATGTGTCCACGATAGGGCATCGACCAATGCCTGACTGAGCGAAAGATACGGATACATAGGCAAACGAAACCATATCAGTGCTTGCATGCGAATCGTTTGGGGCGTGTTGCTTGTCGTACTGTCGCTTCCAAACCCTTGGCGGATTGGCCCACCTGAAAGAGACCAATTTTGTTGCCAACTCGTACCACAGTAAGTGACTTCTGTTCTAATGCGACAGGTCTCTTGGAAGTCTTTGCATAGATGCCCATGGAAATCTCAGAATCCATCCGGAGATAGCAACGGGGGTCAGGTCCACTCCCCCAAATATTTTGCAGACAGGGGCCGGTGGCGTGACTCGACAGTCAGACCGTTCTTGACTATCGCCCGGGCGTCGGCGAGTCTGCTCCGCAACCAGCCATTCAGCTGCCTTCCAAACATACCCAGGAAGGACGATTGAGGAACGTTGTAGATCGAGATTCAGGACCCATGGATGCAGAGTCGACCAAGAAAAAGACGATGCAAACAAGGCAGCGGGCTCGCGCATAGAGTCAGTCGGGCCACTTGTTCCGATCATGTCTCCAGCTTTCCGTTCGCCCAAAGAGTCAACCGTAATGTGACATTGTTGAGAGTACTTGCTCCCGTTCGTGAATATCCACACCACAGCGGCCTCAACTTTGGTGCCCTTTGTGAATTGGTCCTCCGGGAACGTGGGTATCACCAAAAGACGCCGCTCCGGGACCCGCTGCCGGGCGCCAAGACAATATCGGCATCCGTGAATATTCAATTCCGCAATCCCGCTTGCGAGTCTTCCCGGCCCCGGAATCTACTGTCACCTGCGTAGGTATGCAGCCAAAGGGACATACGGTCAGAAAACTTTGCTACTGGCGAACCCCACATGCCTCGGTTGTTGGAGCACTCAACTTGTCGATTTTGAGTGTGGACAGCGCGATCATGCGCCCCGACAATCCACCAGGGACGGGAAGACGTGCAACCCCGGTGCGTATCAGCTTTCAGATGGCGGTGCTGCATACGTCGTTCGGTACCCACGAGCTTGTCCTGGATGATGCGGAATCACCAGAGGAGGGACCCCATGTGAAGGGAAGCTGCCTAGCATGATGATGGTTCCTTAGCTTCTGAGCCGGCGTTCAGCACCTGGAATCCACGACCCGTCCGATATCTCAAGTTTGTGCGTTGTCAAGGTAGGTCTAGATACGGGCCGAGGGGTGAGACCAAAGACTGGAAACGTTCCGCCAGTATGCATATAGCTCAAAGCTTTAGCTAGAGTTTCGTGCGCTCAGATGACGTCGCTTGCATCCCAATTTCCTCTAGACACAAAGGGGAGGCATTGTGCATGTCATCGTGGCATAATAGTCTAGTTTGCCGGCTGCCATTTTCAAGGCGCGAAACTGCCTGTCCAGATCGATTTGGAAGCCTCGATACGTTGAGGGGGCTTGATTGGAAATCCTTCAGACCGACAAAGGTCGAGAACCAACACCAAATCAAAGTCGGTATCGTGTAGCGGGACAGCTCCAACGCCGCGCCGACAAGCAATGAGGCTCCAATGCGACCACACGTCATGCAGCCATTTTTGGTGGAGTCGAGCCTCGGCCGAACTGGAAATTAGCAGAGGCCGAAGTCCGCTTCTGGGCAGAAGCGTACCGATGGCCCTATTAACGCTCAGAGAAGCTGGTAGGGCGGATAGCGCCTAGAAGACAGCGGGTACACGGGCAGAAGAATCAGTGGTCTATCCGATGCTGACGATATCCCTGTTTCAGGACCTGGTGTGTAGGAGATGGTAGCAACCAAAAATGCATGTAGAACCGTGTACTGTCCCCAGCCCGCGTCCAGGTGCGTTGGTATCACGATGGCGGGGAGAGGAGGCGAATAGTCTAAGTGAGCCATTTTCAAGATTCCGGCTTCTCCCTTAGGCCCTTGATAGAAGACCCTGAAAGAAATGATTTAGGGGGTCATGAGGAGGTATCCGCGGGACGGGGACCAGGGGATCCCAAAGCTTTGGATCCCGATCTCGTGATGGATGGAGAGGGAAGTTTCGATGTCGCGAATGTACACTATCTGTACCGGATGGGAGGTTTGCGGCGCAGCCAGCAGACCGGGTTCAACTTGTCTGGATCTTAAACGGTAGGAGAAATACAAAATAGGAGGGCCAGGGTTTGGGGTCGCTGTTCTGTCGGTGGTTGAGAGTCTAAGTCGGAGGCCGAAAGGCCGCTTTCGTTGCCGAGAGGTGGCTGTTACTGGGCCCTGGCGGATGCAATTGGCTTATGATCGGCCCAGGATCGCCCGGGATAACTTTATGAAAGCTAATGCAGTCCAGACGGGGAGCGGGAGGCATCCGCTGGCTTGGGCGGGCTGCGCTACCTGGCGGATACTGATCCGAGCCAACCCTACTGTGAGGTTTTAGTGTGGTATAGTGTAAGGTAGGTAGGTAGCCCCGTGCTACGGATTGGGTGTGGCGGACATAAGATTATTGATAACATGTGGCCCTTGATGACAGCGGGCAGGCGGCGTCGCCATCATCAACAGACCAGACGGGGACGATTCAGGAGAAACAGGACGATCGTTGCCTTGTGAAGGTTCTGGGTTGATTTCAACGACGCAAACGGGCGCGCGTTGTGGAAGAATCACACCTCAGAAGCAGGTAGGCATTCGATAGCGGACCGTGCTATGCTGAGCTGAAGTTGATCGAAGGGCATTCATCAGAAACCCAAACCCATGCGGTTCCCGGGCGGGATTCAACGGCGGAGGGGATTCCCGACGGTCATGCGACGTGAAGAAGCTGCACGAAGATAGTGTAAACAAAGATTAAGATTCTGGAAGATGATGCATGGAGATAGATGGTAGTTTCGATGGAGACAAGATGGGACTGCAGAGGTACTCGGAGAATACAGCCCGGGATTGGACGTACTCGAAAACGGTACGTACAGGATCGGTGTTGAAATACCTACCTATATGATGCAGCTGCGCGTGTGAGCGGCACTTTCCTGAATGGGGTCAAGTGGATGCGGCACTTGACAGCAGTGTAGCCGATTAGTCAGTTAGGCCAGGATTTCCACTAAGCCATACAGAGACGCGGAGATGACCCATCGGCATTTATGCGGTGGAGGGAAAGAACCATCTTCTAGAAAAATTCGACAGTCCCACGATGATTCCACCTCGTCGTTATGAAAGGGGGGGTACACGAGCGAGGATGAGGTCACGACCGACGGACAATGTTCCGCTCTTTGGGTGGTGCTTCCGCTGCACTGCACGTTATCTGTTTTGTACGGAGTAGCGTCCACGGAATGGGGTTTGTTGGAAAAAAAAAAGGTAGGTACCTCCTAGCATAATGGTGGGTGGGATGCGGCTGCTACTGTATTTCTCCGTACTCCGTGCTACCAGGTAATACCAAAGCACCTAAGGTACATACTGCGTAATTTCTCGATGTTGTGTAATCAATGTCGGGGATGATTGGTTGTCTCTCCCTCAAACCATCTATCCCACCCAGTCCGGCGATTAACTAAGCTTTTTCTGCTCCTCCGCCGTGAGATTTCTAATTCGTCCCATGTCAAAGCCGATTGGAGTCGGCGACGGCGTCAGCCACAGACCGATGAGACAGAGCCCGCTGTTGGCTGCTTATTACCGCCGCCCACGAGGTGGTTTTGACGGCTCGCCGTGGTTTTTTTTGTAGATACCTAGGATACTCCCTGCTAGTGCTGTCGAGATGTCATCTTTATGGCAGCTTTATTGGGCTGAAGCCATACTTCTCTCTGAGGACACTATCCTGGTCGAACCCTGATGGCTCGGTTTACCAAGGGCACGACCCAGTGCGACGGGTGTGTCAAGTCCGATCGCGATGAGCTTGAAAACCGGCTGGATGGTGCTATAGTCTAGGTAGTTGGTGAACGAGAGTTCACGTAGGTGGTATTACTGTGTATGTGGTAGACCCGAACGTGATTGTCGGTAAGCAACCACTTACACGGAGATGTTATCTCCGCTCCGTGGATCTACGCCCCAGGCCCGATCGGCATGGGGGAACGGAAGACAACACAATGATGCTAACGTTACGTGTGATTATCATAACGTGCCTGAAGGGAACAATTGTCTCACCCCCTGGAGACAGTCCATAGCAATGCAGTGTTCCATTGAGTAAGGTATCCAGCCTCATGATTGGGGGGTTGTCTAAGGTAGATGAGTCACAACGGGCATGCCATGCGGTTATAGTGACTGAGCAGCGGACATGAGCGAGAAGAGAGAGTTGCAGCAAAACTACCTTAGGTGCTTAGCAGAATTGATAGTTGTGAGGGGCATGTCCACTATTTCGTTGAAAGCATCCATCGCGCTTGTGGTCACAGGAAGGAAGAATCTGCCAGTTAAATCCGGCGGGAATACCTCGCCGATTACCTGAGCGTTATCTACGTAGTACCTTAGTTACCTTAGTCCGGGCCTGGCCCACCAAAGACCCACCTCTGCACACCTTTACCTCAAGTGGGACACACCGATGCGTGCCTGATCCTCCTCCCCGGCCTGTTGGCACCCACGCACCACACACCACGCACCCACGCACAGCACCTCATCCACGCCCGCGGTTGTTTCCCGCTTTGCATCTCCACGACAAAGTAGCCTAATTTTGCCCTAGCTGACGGTTTGCCCTAGGCACCTGGGGCTTTTGGTCCGGGCAAAAATGATCTCCATTGCTTATTCTCGCCCTCCTCCGCCCGGGCACCGTTTCGGGAACCTATACGGCCAACCTGACAAGAGCAAGGGACCGACAGCTTGGGCGCAGCCACACCGCACATGAGGTGGTGACGAGACAGCATCTCGTACTCGTACGGATACCGATGCAGCTACCCCGGATGAGAACGACGTCCTGCGTTTCTGTACTCCGTCCACACTCTTAAACCAACTGAGAAGGACACACTACTTATTCACACATGGAAGCTTCGATCCTTGGCACATGGGCCACGGCTGGAACAACATGGCAGCTGGAGCAAAGACGCAGGGAAGTAAGCAAGTGGGTGTCAGCCCTCCACCGCCCACGTTCTCAGACATCAGAAAGAACCCAAAGATCCCAGAGGCAAGGATCCCAAGCAGGAAGCAGCCACGGTATAGATCACTCGAATGGGCGGTGGCGGGTGAGGATTATTGGGACTTGGGGCAGCTGCCTTCAACAGTTGTTGGTTCTCATATTCCACATGGAAGGGATGGATCATGGCAACCACTTCGGATAGCAGTCTAGGTATCTGCCTACCGCCACCACTCCCGTGCCTCTACTTTGGTTCAGCCTGATGCATTGCAACTTGATCCGCCGCAAGTCCATCATCACCATTGTATCTTACCATCGCCGACCATCTTCGCATGAATCTTGACCCCATGCCGACGCCTTACAGCTCAAGCTCAAACCAACCCTTGGTCACCTCGAGCTGGCCTTGCGAGCCTCTGCTCCGTGCGGTACAGAGCACACCTCAACAGCTCTCTCGACTCTCGAGTCCCTTCTCACGGCACTGTGCCTCACGAGACCAGTCTTGGCGGCTTGTCGACGGTTGACCGTGAACCTACCTACCACCGGCGGAGGAGCGGGCCACAGAGCGGCCTCGCTACCTTGAATCTTGTCCGTGCTCCGCAATCTCTCCGCGCACCATCGGCGAATAGGCTGTCACCCTCCGTTCCAACTCTCAACTTTTTCCTCATCGCCGCCGGACTTTTGTAGCAGTCCACCTACCCGACCCTTTCCTTTACGATCGATCAACAACGAACCGTTGGCTCCGCCTGCCGCCGTGGGAGTGGCCAGCGGCCGAGGCCCTGTCGGCAGAGAAACATCATCGCGGCTCTTAATCGTTGACTTTGAATTAGAGTTTGCTGCTCGAAACTAGACGCCATGACGTCTTTACACTCTTTACACCCTCGGACGGTGTCATGGTATCAGACGGGTTTGATGGTGGACTCAATCCCACTGCACGCTCCCGCCGCATAGAGTGCTGCGCTGGCCAGAAGTTTGGCCTGAAGTATCTCTTCTTCCTGTCGTCAGTCGACCTCGAACAGCCTGCCTTAAGCTGCACCGCCTGTGAGCTCCCACAGAGTTCGCGGTCAGGTACAACCTGCCTTCTATGCAGCTCGCCGAAGCATCGTCGACCTCGGCCGACTGGTAGCTACCGCTCTTGGCGCATATCAGACTTTGGCACGCACCGACAGCATGGGATCTTTTCACCATGGAATGAATTAGGACGACACAAAAGTCCGCCCGCGGCGACCATCCCACGCGAGGCTGTCGGCACCGTTGGCCTCAAAGAGGAAGTCCCTGCATGGATGGGAGCTCGAACGTCTGCCACTGTCTGTTCTCCGAACCTGTCCTGCAGGCATTCGACTCTTCAACTGACACGGTCGAGCCCTATCGGCAAGGGACGTTTTTGCACCTCGCAAAGATGAGTTAGTTCTCCCGGCGGCACCTCGTCAACTACCCGTCGGGCATACGAGAGCCGTTGGATCAATTTAGGCCCCGGATAGGAGAACAGGAGAGCATTGAGACCGTGTTAGTACCTGTAAGGCGTAGGTATCTGGGCAATGCGACAAATTTGGACAGGTTTTGGCCCAACCCAATGGTTATGGTCCATCATGATTCATCGACCCTGGCACCCTGTCGATTTGCCCAAATTGGCATTCCCAGTCAGGGACCAACCAGGCATAGCAATGCCAGTTGGCAGACTCGGTCTCTGGCGTCATCAATTCAGTCATGCCTTGTCGTCTTGTCTCCATTCGAGTCCAGAACCTCTCGAGGATCGTACAGTATGACGGCTCCGAGCTACTGATCTAGAGCAGTAGAGTCGCGGTATCGTCGATGATGAACGCGCAGCAAAAGTCAAGACCCCGCCCTCGGCGCCGGCCTCGTCAACAGGCCGGAGTCTTGGCATACGGGGTTGCAGTTTACCCTGATCGCCCCGTCAGCGGCCCCGTCAGATTCCGCCGCATGCACAAATCGAGAAAATTTAGGATTATGAACAACCCGGTGTTGGTCATCGGACTCACTGCATTGAACCTTGGCCAGGTGTCGTGCTCGAAGGCGTCCGCGGCTCAGCGATGTTGGCATGGTGCGGCGCAACGGAAGATACACAGCTACATGTTCACACCAAAAACGGCCAGATCGAATCTACAGTTACGAAGTCAGAGAGAGAAAGAGACAAGAGACGTTGGGGTCAACATGGCTTCACCGTCCCGAACGGACGGGTGGGGTTTGCAAACAGAGAGCAAGTAAGACATGAGCACACTCGAAAGAGAGACACAGAACAGATCGGGTGGTTTTTTTCTTGTCAGTCTCGGAGCGATTTGTCTGCCTGGGCGTGTGTCTCTCCCGTGTCTTCGTCGACCATCTCGTTCCATTCCTTGGGCCCATCACCCATGCAGAGCTTACTCAGGTTCGGGGACTTGTGAACCTCCACTCCCGAAGTCTCTGGAGGTACCGATCAGTCACAGTCACAGGAGCGGACCCGCTCAACCTGCCTTACCTACCCCTTGAAGGTTGACAGCAACATTGCGGGCCTTGTCCTCGCGCAACCCACTTTCATGAGGCGTACACTCGGCTTGGTTCCTACCAAGTAGCGTTCCGTTCACGATTTGTCGAGTGTTCCCCGAGGCAAATGGTCCAGACTCGGCCCATGTCAACATACTCGCAGCATCATGTCATCTTTTGTTCATGATCAAGCCTCATTGCTTGGAAAGATCCCATCTCTTGATCCCGGCAGAGTTGTGGGTGACCCTGCTTGCTGGATATAAGATGTGGTCGGCTGTTCCGTCTGATTGGGATCCCCCTACACCAGAGTCAGAAGCTATTCATGTTTCGAATCGGGGACCTTGATCAACATCACAGTTCTAACTCCGCCGACCTGACGTCGATACCTACTCTGCATACCTTCAGCTTCAGCGATCTGGTGTAAATGATTCTTTTTTAAAAAGACCATCTCGGCCCAGAAATATTCCATCGATCCAGACTGTTCATTACCTCCAAGGCAACAACATTACCTCTAGTCGAAATAAGAACCCCTAGGTCTCATCTTACACACCAAGATTGAAGAGAATCATATCTTGTTACACCAACAAGCAGCCTAGAAAGACAAGCCATCCACCACCACGTCCACACATCCTCTCCCGCGTCCACCCGCCCGCAAAAGCATTTAAGGACTTTGGTGACGAATAAGAGAAAAAGGAGATCAAGAAGAACGAAAGGCCCCAAGAGCCTGGATCAGCACATAGCACACAACAGGGTCGGCAAACAAGATCCGCTCGAGACACGTCCGCCATTCTGCAGTCAGCAATCCGCCGTATCAACAGCGGGAAGCAGCAACAAATAAGCCATACTTTACACAAGCAGCGACCGGCTTGCAAATCAAATCCCAATCCCTATCCCTATCCCTATCCTCGCCGTCCAGTTCTCTGAACTCCGCAGCGGACTTTACCTTCTCGCGGCTAGCTCTTGGGACCAGAAAGAAAAAAGGCTGCTAGCGCGCTGCTACTACCAGCTACATCCCACAACTTAGCTACGTACCGGACGTACTTTTGATACACGACGGTCGCCAGTTGACCACACACACTCTCCAAATTGAGCACAAAACGGAACCAGGATCCTTCTTGAGGCCGTCTCATTTTCATAACTACTGGGCCCGCCCGCGCACTCGGACATAAAGACGTCGCCGACCGTTAATGCCACCCGCAGCAGACCAGGCCAGCGAACCCACACCCACGCCCACGCCTACACCACCGCCTACCTATTCGTAAGGTACCTACCTGGTCCTACGAATACCTAACGCACCGCATCCGCACTCGCTCCAGCTCCAGCTCCAGTTCCAGCTCCTCCAGCAGCAGACTCTCCCCGACAGAACTCCCCTAGTCTGCCCTGTCTGCCCTCCACTGTACCCGTCGTACCGCCGTACTTGCATCGTAAAAGGTACGGGGCAAAGTACCGCACCAAAGCAACCAGCATCAGCACCAAGCACCCGCAACGCACACACCCACCCCCCCTGCCTGTCCTCTCCTCTCCTCTCTCTCCTCAACCTCCACTGCTTGCTTGCTCTGCCCTCCTTAGCATTGCGAGCGACCGAACTCTATCAACCCCAAAAGCTTCCGAGGCCTTTTCCCTGTGCATCACATAATCTCGCGCGCGCACATTAGACGCACCCCGTCTACTCCCCGTCGTCTCCCCGTTGTTGCTCGACATTAATAATTTGTCTACGCCCTCCATCCCAGTACCTTGCCGTGCTTACTGTCCCGCCCTCTTGACCCTAGCGCCGCGGACTCTTGGCTGTGTCATCCCGACTCTTTTACCTTTTTGGTTGATTCTTCCTTTGACTGGGTCGACTTCGTTCTCGCTATCCTATATAGTTCACTTACACGCCTCTCACCTCCCTCACCCACAGACTTATACGCACTTTGCCCCTCGGTCTACATCAACAACATCTTCCTCTTCCACACATCGCCACACCTTATCCTTCCCTCCTACTACTACCACAACAACAACAACTACTACTACTACTACTACTACTACTACTACTACTACTACTACTACTACTACTACTACTACTACTACTACTACATACTACCCCATTAACTAGTAATCATTCACCACCACAATGGGAAGCGGCCTACCCACACCTCCCTTGGAGGACCAAAAACCCAGAAAGAGCTCCTCCAGCTCCAAGTCTATCAAGCCCAACCGCCATACTGCCAAGCGCGCCAGCCCTCACAACGCGACACAACATCACGATCATAGCTCTCAAGCTATGTCTGCCGATGGACGTCACAAGAGGGTATGGAAGGCTTGCGAAAGGTGTCGTATGAAGAAGACCAAGGTAAGCAGCACTAGCACACCCAACCTCATGGTCACTTCCATCCTGACTTGGACTCCACTTAGTGCGACGGCGAATTCCCCTGCAAAAGGTGTAAGGACGATGGTCTCGTTTGCACCGCCGGCGTTCGCAAGAAGACGGAATACAAGCAGCTACCCAGAGGCTACGCCGAAGTTCTCGAGCACACCCAATTCGCCCTCATTGCCACCGTCCATAAGTTGTACTCCATGGTTAGGAACCAACAACAATGGGACCTTGGCGAACCCGAGCTCAACGATAGAGGACAGCCTGTCATCCACAACATTGCCCAGAAGCTTGGATGCATCCGCCCGAACAGCGATATCGACTTGCCAGTTCACTCGGTGTTCCCTGAGGATGAGGCGGGCTTGGCCGAGTTGGCGCGCCAACTGGAGGAACAGCAAAAGGAACGCGATGTTGAGAAGGCCATGAAGGTCGAGGTCGATTCTAACTCAAGTTGCGAGCGTTCAGACCGCGCAAGCTCTTCCGACATTGATCACTCGGAATTCGAGGCCGACTACCGCAAAGCTGTCTTTGGCGGCCACAACAACCCCATGACCATGTCTCCGCAAAGCTTCTCTACCGGATACACTGAGTTCGACGTAGACTCAGTTGCCTCGCCCATCGATCCCACCGCCGCCATGTTTCAGCAAAATCAGTCCCCGCCCATGAACGCTTACCAACAATGGAATATGCCCAGACAATCAGCACCCTCTTCAATGGATCTCGCTCAGCAATTCTTCCAACATCCCGGCGCTCTCACCAACATGGACATGCTTAACCAAGGCCTGATCGAGTCAGAATTCGGCACCATCAAGCCTCACGTTCTTAACTGTCCGAATCCGGAAGTGATGATGGGAATGGGCGACCCGATGATCTACGGGGGCTATGACGGCGAGCCAATGCGACTGTAACCCCAACATTCCAGTCACTGAGCATTTCGAGTACGGATTATGAGTTATAGAGTTGGGGCTTTCGGTCGGGCCACGGCCATCAGGCGCACAGAAGACATTGGGGTCGTGGGATTTTGCGAATTTATGGGCTATTCAATGATACACCGCGAAGGCGTTGCTTTTTCTGGGAAAGGACCCTCCCCACATCTCGCGAGAGAGAGAAAAAGGCGTTTGACGGTTTTTTTTGGTGGTTTGATTTTTTGTTTTGTTTGGTCAAACTCGGATGAGGTTAATCGCCACCGTTCAAGGTATTTGGGGGGCAATAGTGAGCGGGAAACGGCCTTTAGGAAGAAGGATTTATTAGCATTGAGGCGAACGATTTTTCACGTTGCAACGACACCAAAAATCGAAACCATTGTATCAACTTTTTTCTGAACTCGTGTCTACTCTATTTCTTTTGCTTGTGTGATTTCCTCTGG